GGTAATTTTTTGATTTATTGTAGAGATGAGGTCTCGCCAAGTTGCCCAGGCGGGTCTCGAACCCGCGGGCTCAGACAATTCACTCACCTCAGCCTCCCAAGGTGCGGGATTACAGGCTGAGCCACCAAGCCCGGCTTTTTTTTTTTTTTTTAAACAGAGTCTTGCTCTGTTGCCCAGGCTGGAGAACAGTGATCCGGTTGTAGCTCACTGCAGCCTCAAACTCCTGGGCTCAAGCGATTTTCCTGCCTCAGCCTCCGGAGTAGCTGGACTATAGGTGCTATAGCTGTGAGATGCCATGCCCAGCTAATTTTTAAATTTTTTGTAGAGATGAGATCTTCTTACATTGCCCAGGGTCTCAGACTCCCAAGGTGTTTTTTTTTTTTTTTATTTCGAGTTGGAGTCTCACTCTGTCACCCAGACTGGAGTGCAGAGGCCGCTCCTGGCCACCGCAGCCTCGACCTGCTGGGCTCTGGCGATCCTTCCGCCTCAGCCTTCCAAGGAGCTGGAAATACAGGCGTGCACTATCACGCCTGGCTAATTTTTTGATTTATTGTAGAGATGAGGGCTCGCCAAGTTGCCCGAGCGGGTCTCGAACCCACGGGCTCATTCACTTGCCTCGGCCTTCCAGAGTGCTGGGATTACAGGCTGAACCACCAAACCCGAGTTTTTTAAAAAAATACATTATGTAGCATTATTATTTAATACGTTATATAGCATTATTTTTAAATATAAAGTTCCACCTGCCATCTTTAGGACAGTGCTAAGGTTGTTGTGTAGGGGAAGAGAGAGCTGGGGGGTCAGGGTCAGGGCTAAGATTGGATACCTATGGGCGTTAAAGAGGGGATTTGAGCAGAGCAGAGTGGGTTTAGTACATTTTTTTTTTTTTTTAGTTGGAGTCTCACTCTGTCACCCAGACTGGAGTGCAGTGGCCGCTCCCGGCCCCCGCAGCCTCGACCCGCTGGGCTCCGGCGATCCTTCCGCCTCAGCCTTCCAAGTAGCTGGAACTACAGGCATGCGCTACCACGCCCGGCTGATTTTTGATTTATTGTAGAGATGCGGTCTCGCCAAGTTGCCCGGGTGGGTCTCAAACCCGCAGGCTTAGGCAATCCACTCACCTCAGCCTCCCAAGGCGCAGGATTACAGGCTGAGCCACCAAGCCTGGCTTAAATCCTACTTTCAAAAAAAAAAATTGTAGTTCCCTGCCAGGCATGGCTCATGCCTGTAATCCCAGCATTTTGGGTGGCAGAGGCGAGAGGATTGCCTGAGTCCAGGGGTTTGAGACCAGCCTGGGTAACTTGGTGAGATCTCATCTCTACAATAAATCAAAAAATTAACTGGGCATGGTGGTGCACACCTGTAGTTCCAGCTACTTGGAAGGCTGAGGCTGAAGGATTGAGGTTGCGATGGCTGTGAGTGTGCCGTTGCACTCCAGTCTGGGTGATAGTGAGATTCCGACACACACACACACACACACACACACACACACACACACACACACACACACACACACAAACTATACTCTCCATAACGTTAATAAGGGTGCCTGATCCGAATCCAGGAGAAGTGATGTCCAGTGGGAGGCCCCAAACTTCACCTATTCCTAAACCTCTTACGTACACAGTCCTGACTTGTACTCCACAATTTTAAAATTAAATTAAATTAAATTTTTAAAAAATTGACAGGACATGGTTGCTTACGCCTGTAATCCCAGCACTTTGGGAGGTGGAGGTGAGAGGATTGCCTGAGTTCAGGGTTTCGAGACCAGCCTGGGCAACTTGGCGAGACCTTGACTCTACAATAAATCAAAAAATTAGCCAGGCGTGGTGGCACACACCTGTAGTTCCAGCTACTTGGAAGGCTGAGGCAGAATCTTTAAAGATTGCCTGAGCCCAGTAGGTTGAGGCTGCAGTGTTGGTGAGTGTGCCACTGCACTCTATTCTGGGTGACAGAGTGAGACTCCGACTCAAAAAAAAAAAAAAAAAAAAAAAGGAAAGCCGGGCTCGGTGGCTCAGCCTGTAATCCCGTGCCTTTGGGAGGCTGAGGTGAGTGGATTGCCTGAGCCCAAGGGTTCGAGACCTGCCAGGGCAGCGAGACCTCATCTCTACAATAAATAAAAAATCAGTCGGGCGTGGTAGTGCATGCCTGTAGTTCCAGCTACTTGGAAGGCTGAGGCGGAAGGATCGCTGGAGCCCAGCAGGTCGAGACTGCGGTGGCCGGGAGCGGCCACTGCACTCCAGTCCGGGCGACAGAGTGAGACTCCAACTCCAAAAAAAAAAAAAAATAAAACATAAAAAATTATAGTCCCCCATTCTCCCCAAAATAGCCACAACAAGAATGACTGGCCACTCTTGTAAGCTGCTGTTTTCAGACTGCTAAAGTGACATCTGGACATAAGCCCTCATATATTAGAATATCACTCAGGGAATGCTCCAATAATTGGGATGAGATTACTATTCCTTTTTTGCATCCCCAAAGCCTAGATAGGTACTCAATTTGAAAATTCTAATAGAATTGAGTCTTGCTCTTATCATAGGAAAGGAACAAAACCTAATGGGAGCAGCACATGAAAAAGAATCAGAAAGGAAATAAGTCAGTGAAGAGAACTTTTCTGTTTCTTCGTTTATTTTCTTAAAGAAACTAACACTGGCTGGGCACGGTGGCTCATACCTGTAATCCCAGCACTTTGGGAGGCGGAAGTGAGAGTACTGCCTGAGTCCAGGGGTTCGAGATCAGCCTGGGCAAACTGGCAAGACTTCCCCTCTACAACAAATCAAAAAATTAGTCGAATGTGGTGGTTCACACCTATAGTTCCAGTTTCTTGGAAGGCTGGGGCAGAAGATTGCTTGAGCCCAGCAGGTTGAGGCCGCAGTGGCCATGAGCGTTCCACTACATTCCAGCCTGGGTGACAGAGTAAGATTCCAACTCAAAAAAAAAGAAAAAAGAAAGAAAAGAGCCGGCTCGGTGGCTCAGCCTGTAATCCCGCGCTTTGGGAGGCTGAGGTGAGTGGATTGCCTGAGCCCACGGGTTTGAGACCTACCTGGGCAACTTGGCGAAAGCTCATCTCTACAATAAATTTAAAAAAAATTAGCTGGGCATGGTAGCGCGCACCTGTAGTTCCAGCTTTTTGGAAGGCTGAGGCAGAAGGATCCCCGGAGCCCAGCAGGTCGAGGCCGCAGTGACCGGGAGCGACCACTGCATTCCAGTCTGGGCGACAGAGTGAGACTCCAACTCAAAAAAAAGAAAGAAAGAAAGAAAAAAAAAACCTGCCTCTAAAAGTATCAAACATGGCCAAGTGTGGTAGCTCACACCTGTAATCCCAGCACTTTGGGAGGTTGAGGCAGGAGGATTGCCTCAGTTCAGGAGTTCAAGACCAGCCTGGGCAACATAGGGAGACCTTGTCTCTACAAAAAATTTAAAAAATTATCTGGGTGTGGTGGTGTGTGCCCATAGTCCCAGCTATCCAGAAAACTGAGGCAGAGGATTGCCTGAGCCCAGGAGATAGAGGCTGTGATGAGCTCTGATGGTGCCACTACCATGGGCAACAGAATGAGACCCTGACTCAAAAAATAATAATAAGCTGGGCGTGGTGGCTCACACCTATAATTCCAGCACTTTGAGAAGCCAAAGTGAGAGGATTGCCTGAGCCCATGGGTTCAAGACCAGCCTGGGCAGCTTGGCAAGACTTCATCTCTACAAGAAATAAAAATTAAAAAAAAAAAAAAAAGCCGGGCATGGTGGCATGTGCCTGTAATTCCAGCTACTTGGAAGGCTAAGGCGGAACGCTCGCCTGAGCCCAGCAGGTCAAGGTTGCGGTAGCTGTGAGTGTGCCACTGCACTCCAGCCTGGGTGACAGAGTGAGACTCCAACTCAAAAATAGTAAGAAATAAAATAAAAGTATCAAACAAGGAATAAATAAGGCAAACTTCATTTTGTGGGTGATTGTACCCTCCTTGGCAATTCCTATTTTATTGAGGGTGCTGCTACTTATTCTTTCCAAGAGTTTTCTTTTTCACGGGAGGTGGGCATTTCTTTGCCTTCTTACAGTCAAGATTCAAGATCTGCTGATGTAGGGGCCTTTTCTTGGCCACTACAATTTCATCGACACTCATGAGCTGCAGCACCACGTCAGACACTGCTCGGAGTCCCTGGGCTTTGGGCCCCAGGGTATCCCACACCCCTTCCTGGGCCGCATTGATGATCCCGTCAGCTCCCACTCCAGTTAGGAAGTTCCCAGCTTGGTGAATTCCACTCATCTCTGCCATCACGTCTGAGACGGCTAAGCCTGCATTCTCTGCCAAGGTCTTAGGAAGAGACCTCAGGGCTCTGGCAAATGCCAGGAATGCAGGACCATTCAGCCCTTCCAGGGTGCTTCCTTTATCTGAGAGCATCTTTGCCAGAGCCATCTCCGTGGCCCCAGCTCCCGGAATCAGTCTGGGATCCTGACACAGCTGGAAATAGGCGTCGATGCCGTGGTAGACAGCCTGCTCGGCGCTGCGCAGCCCCTCCGGCGTGGCCCCCCTGAGGACCACGGTGAGGGTAGGTGTGCCCGCACATTCCCATTCAAACACCACAGCCAAACCGTCTCCCAGCTCCTGTCCATAAACCTTGCGGCACTGCCCTGGCTGCTGCAGAGGGAGCAGACGAGGCAGCAGAGGTGTGCCCAGCACCTTGCTCAGGTAAACCATCTCCACCTGAGACCTGACTTGAATCACCATGATGCCACTGCTGTCCGCCAGACTGAGTGCCTTCTCATCGACTTCCCCGCAGACCACCACCACGTTAATATCTGCAGCTGCCACCTGGGCCACTTGCTTTTCTATCAGTTGATCCCTTCCTTGCTCAAATTGAGTTAGATCCAAAGGACTAGAGAGACGGGCCGTTGCTGGTGTATTTGGACTGGCGGGACCAAAGGGGCAAGCAAAGAGAGCCACCCTGGCACCATGTAGCACGGCGGTCACCTGCCCGCAGAGTTTCCCAGACAGCGCCAGCCCCGGGAGCAGGCAGGAGTCCTCCAGCGTCCCCCCATGCAGCGTGCTCACGCTGACTCGCTCAGGCTTGAAACTGCCGTCCAGCTCTTTGATAGCCCAGCAGGCATGAGCCACCAGCTTGGTCAAGTAGTCTGAGGGGGACAGGGTGTGGGTATTCATCACAGAACGGAGAGCCCAAGACGGATCTTCCAAAGGCCCCAGGGATCGGATGGCCAGGGAGGGCAACGCGCCGAGGGCCTCCGCCGTGACTGTGGCATAGGCCTCCCGGAGCTGGAAGCGAGGCAGGCCGGCCTTCAGCAGGTGCTCTGCTTGCTCCATCAAGGCTGCGGCCAGAAGAACCACAAAAGCCGTGCCATCCCCACTGTTCTCTGCCTGGGCTTGGGCTGCTTCCCGGAGGAACCAGGCCGCCGGGTGCCCCAGCTCCAGGGCCCTGAGGATGGCAGCCGCAGAGCCTGTGCACAATGTTTCTCCTTGAGCAGTCACCAGGAGCTTCTGCCGGCCGTGGGGGCCATAGCAAGGCCGGATGACGCTGGCCAGGGTCTGGACTGCAGCCAGGCTGCTCAGCAAGTGCTGTTCCTCCTCTTCTGGACACCGAGGGTTGGGTTTCAGGCGCTGGGGCAGCTCTGGTACCGAGGGGACTCTGCGGTCCATAACCTGTGGAGGCGGGGAGGCCACCGTGGGCTGCAGAGGCACTTCAGAAACAGCAGCAGGGGCACCCTTGAGACTGATCTTTGAAAGTACTCCAGAGGCCAGTGGAAACAAGTAACCACATGTCCATCAACTGATCTCTGAATACGTCAGCCTGGATAGGTGCACTGCCTTGGGTCCACGCACGATCTGCGGACAGCTTGTTCATTCCTAAACCTGCCCCTAAAGTTGATTCTGTAAAGGAACTGGGCTCCTGCAGTCTCTGAACCTCTGTGACTGAAGCAGGATCTTTAATTGATGAAGTCACAAAGTGGCAAATGGAACCAGAGTAGAGAATGAGGTCACAGAGGAATGGTTAGAATCGGGAAGCCCTAAAAGCAGGCAAGTCAGGCCCTGTGGTCCAGCAGTGGAGCTATACCCAGGTCTGCAGCAGGCCTTAAATCCTGGAGACAATGAAGAGGAGATCGAATTCCCAATGAAGCTGTTTTTTATTTGTTTGTTTTGAACTGGGGTCTCACTCTGTCACTCAGGCTCGAGTGCAGTGGCACCATCACGGTTCACCGCAGCCTGGGACTTCGAGACTCAAGTGATTTTTTTCTGCCTCAGTCTCTCAAACAGGTGGGACTATAGGCACATACCATCATACTTGCCTAATTTTTAGATTTTCTGTGGCCAGGCACAGTGGCTCACACCTGTAATCCCAGCACTTTGGGAGGCGGAGGCGACAGGATTGCCTGAGACCACAGGTTTGAGACCAGCCTGGACAACTTGGTGAGACCTCATCTTTACAATAAATCAAAAAATTAGCCAGGCGTGGTGGTGTATGTCTGTGTTTCCAGTTACAGGCTGAGGTGGAAGAATCACCAGGTCGAGGCTGTGGTGGCCATGAGCGTGCCACTGCACTCCAGCCTGGGTGACCACAGGGAGATTCCAACTAAAAAAACAATTCTTTTTTTCTTTAAAGACAGGGTCTCACCATATTGCCCAGGCTGGTCTCAAGCAATCCTTTCACCTTGGCCTCTCAGAATGCTGGGATTATAGGTGTGAGCCACCATGCCTGGTTTTTTTTTTTTAAAGAGGAAACTAAGAGTGGTCTGTATTTGTTCTGTTTTACTTTCCCTTGCAGTGCCACATAATACTGCCTCTGCCTTTGTGGCCATCTTGTCTGTGTGTGCCTGTTTTTCGGGATCCTGGAGGTGTCAGTCTGTTGGTTTTTCAGGGTGCAGGTGTCGGGGGCTGCATTTTGTGCATACTTGCATGACAACTCCAGATGTCAGTGATGTCACTGACCTGGCAGAGGCAGGTCAAGACAAGAAAGGGAAAGATGCTGACAACCTACAGACATACACATAGACATGGGCCCAGGAAAGTGAAAAGCAACCAGCCTCCTGAGGTCATCAGGGAGGTAGAAGTCCCCAGTGAATGGACTCGGGGCACTGAGGTTTAAAGGCTAATCACCCTCCCACCTGTATCCTCAACCTTTAGAATTTACGTCTCTTCTTTCCATTCTCCCTCTTTCCCTCCCTCCCTCACTCCCTGCTCCTTCCTCTTCTCATATAGAGCCTACTGGAATAATGATGCTTCTGCTTTAGTTTAACATATATTTAAAATTTTTATTTCATTTCCTTATTAATTTTTTTGAGTTGGAGTCTCTGTCATCCAGACTGGAGTGCAGTGGCACACTCACGGCCACCATAGCCTTGACCTGCTGGGTTCGGGTGATCCTTCTGCTTCAGCCTTCCAAGAAGCTGAAACTACAGTTGTGTGCCACCATGACTGCCTAATTTTTTGATTTATTATAAAGATGAGGTCTCACCAAGTTGCCCAGGCTGGTCTTGAACCCTTGGGCTCAGGCAATCCTCTTGCCTCCACCTCCCAAAGTGCTAGGATTACAGGCGTGAGCCACCACACCTGGCTAGATTTTTATTTTTTAAGTTGGGATCTCACTCTATCACCCAGGCTGGAGAGTAGCAGCATGATCACGGCCCACCACAGCCTCCACCTCCTGGGTTCAGGTGACCCTTCTGCCTCGGCCTCCGAGTAGCTTGGGATTACAGGTGCATGCCACTTATACCCAGTTAATTTTTGTATATTTTATAGAGACAACATCTCACTATGCTGCCCAGGTTGATCATGAACTTCTGGGCTCAAACAATCCTCTCACCTTGCTTTCTAAATGCTGGGATTACAGGCACTAGCCACCACATCCACTGTTTAACACATATTTATTGAGCACTCACTATGTTCAATGGAATGAGGAATACACAGACAGAAACTTAGACGAGTGGTAGCAACATATCTGTAACAAATGAATTCAGCATCTGACATGTTAGGTAGCACCAGGTAGAACTGATGAATATATTGATTGAGATTAGGGGAAATAGAGCAATATAATCCATTTGCATTTGGAAAAACCCTGTTTACTTTGTTTAATGGCCAATATTCTTTAGAAAAAATAGAACTCTGGGCCGGGCGTGGTGGCTTACCCCTATAATCTCAGCACTTTGGGAGGCCGAGGTAAGAGGATTGCCTGAGCCCACGGGTTCAAGTCCAGCCTGAGCAACTTGGTGAGACCTCATCTCTACAATAAATAAAAAAATTAGCTGGGCATGGTGGTGTGTGCCTATAGTTCCAGCTACTTGGAAGGCTAAGGCAGAAGGATCACCTGAGCCCAGCAGGTTGAGGCTGTGGTGGCCATGAGTGTGCCACTACACTCTAGCCTAGGCTACAGAGTGAGACTCTCACCCCCCTCCCCCAAAAAAGAGAAAGAAATAGAACTCTGAAATTGATGACACTAGCCAAGAATTATCATAGTATGGTGGGCATTGGCTTAATGCTTCCACAGAAGAGATGATAGCAAGCAAGAAAAGAGGAAAACGTGGAAGTTAAATATAATTAAAGCTAAAGGAAGATCATTTTGGAGGAGACAAGCAAATCTTTTTCTTTGAAGAACAACTTGGGCCACGTGTGCTCACACCTGTAATCCCAGCAGTTTGGGAGGCTGAGGCAGGAGGACTGCTTGAGTTCAGGAGTTCAAGACCTGCCTGGGCAACATAGTGAGACCTCATCTGCACAAAAAATAAAAAACTTAGCTGGGTGTGGTGACGTGCACCTGTAGTCCCAGATACTTGGGAGGCTGAGGCAGAAGGATAGAAGGATAGCTTGAGCCCACGAGGTTGAGGCGCTGCAGTGAGCTTTGATTGTGCCACTGCACTTCAGCCTGGGAAAGAAAGTAAGACCCTGACTTAAAAGAAAAGAAAAAAAACTTGATTGCTTTTGCAAAAATGATGACTAGTCATCATAAAAGTTTAAGAGGAAAATACAAAGAAAGTAAAGGTCATTTGGAATTCCAGCCCAGAGATAACCATTGTTTATCATTTTGATGATCATTATTACTTTGTACATATGCACACATAATTATAGATTTATACAATTTTGCATGAGTGGATGTATGATATATATTATATACTATTTTGTAATCATTTCCCCCTCAACATTTATCTTGGTTCAGAGAAATGTTTCTTTTTCTTTCTTTTTTTTTTGAAAATAGGATTTATTGAGAGGACAGAAAAGCTTCCACACTGGAGGAGACCCCAGGGTGCTGCCCTAGAGAAAAGTTTCTAAGGACATATCATGTTGTCTGAAGATCATAAATAACTATGTTGGCTTCTTTTGATTTTGAAGACTCCATTAAGAATAGTCAGAGCCGGGCTCGGTGGCTCAGTCTGTAATCTCAGCACTTTGGGAGGCTGAGGTGAGTGAAT